AGTGACCATAAAGTAATTAAATACATATATATATATATATACATATATATATAATATGTATATAAGTATTAAATATTTCTATTAAGGAACAGTAGTTAATTGTTTAGACATAACAATGGCATTATGCTTATGCTTTTTTAAAAGATGTTATCTTCTAAAAATTACAGTTTGAGGTATTTATGAATCAAATGATGAATTAGTGTTAAAATAATCCATTATGGTGAGAGGGGATATAAGTAAAAACAATTGGCTGCGTTGGTCACCATCAAAGCTTGGTGTTGAGCACAGGAGGATTTATTACACACTATTATTTTCACTTTGGTATATGTTTAAATTTTTCTGTAATAAAAGTTTTTTTAAAAATCCTCTTGGAGGAAGTAAAAAGGTTGGAAATAACCGAAAAGGCCGCTGTGTTCCACAGAGTCTGCAGAAAACTTTTGGTGCGAAAGATGTGGGAGACTGTTTGCCTACAGAGACTACAGAGACAAGCACCTCAAGTACACGCCCTGTGTGGACAAGGGTGACAGGAAGTTTCCCTGTTCTCTCTGCAAACGATCCTTTGAGAAGCGGGACCGGCTCCGGATCCACATCCTTCATGTCCACGAGAAGCACAGGCCTCACAAGGTAAGCACGAGGAGGGCCGAGAACACGCTCACGCTCTGGTTCCAAACTCCTGAGCACACGCTGAGGGACTCTAGGTGCCAGCTGCATGGACGTGATGCTAGACAGGACCACCTCCGCGAAGGAGGTGACAGTGTTATGGGAGAGGCCGTCATGAATAGCTGTAGTGACACATGTGTTAGGACGGATGTACCAGGCAGAGGAGGAACATGGAGGAAGGAGTGTCCCTGCTGCCTGGTCGTTTGGGTTAAGAAAGGTGCATAGAGGAGGTAGTCTGAAGCTGAGTGTAGAAGCACAAATGGGGCATCTGAGTCATAACTGGAGGCAGAGTTGGATGCCGTTCCAGGTAGGAGAGAGCCTGCATGTGACCTTGGGTAACTGCACCTTATTCGTGCATGGGCCAAAGAATGGAAGGCCTCTATGGCAGGCCAGAAATTTTGTAAGGAAGAAAGGCAATGATGACATCAGGGAGCCATCTTCTGCTGTTTCAGACACCTGGTCACTCTGCCAGGCTTGGTGCAAAAAAGCACAAAATACCCTTGAGCTCAGTGGTTTCTTCAACAGTGTTCTAGCCAACCTCTGTGCAGAGGAAGAGCAGTTTGGGATCCTCCGGCACTCTCCAGGCCTTTGAAAGGAAAGAAAGAAAGAAAGAGAGAGAGAGAGAGAGAGAGAGAGAGAGAAAGAGGAGACCTAGGCACAGAGGAATTCTTGCTTGACTCTAGCCCTGTTCTCCTCATTTGAAAACTGAGAGTAATTGTCATGAACTTATCTTTTATCTCACCCTTCCCAACCTTTTAGAAAAATCGCAATCACTGTATTATGTACTCATGTAAAGTTTGAATGCTTTTATAATTATCGTGTATTATTTGTGTAATTCTCAAAGGATTTTATAATAATAAGAGTAATTATTTCATGTCCATTAGACTGACAAAAGTAAAAAATTAAACTATCCAACATTCTGATAGTGAAAAGTTGGAGACTGCAGGTTCATCAACACAGAACTGATTATATAAATTATGGCTTATTGGCCAGACACGGTGGCTCTCAGCTCTTTGGGAGGCCCATGTTGGAGAATGGCTTTTGTATGCTGTGTATAATAAACTCCTGGGCTCAAGCGATCCTACTGCTCAGCCTCCGAGTAGCTGGACTACAGGCATGCGCCACCATGCCCGGCTTAATTTTTTCTATATATATTACTTGGGCAATATTCTTTCTCTTTATAGTAGAGACGGTCTCGCTCTTGCTCAGGCTGGTTTCAAACTCCTGACCTCGAGCAATCCGCCCGCCGGCTCCCAGAGTGCTAGGATTAAGGCGTGAGCCACCGCGCGGCTAAAAGATGTTATCTTCTAAAAATTACAGTTTGAGGTATTTATGAATCAAATGATGAATAGTGTTAAATAATCTTATGGCGAGAGGGGATATAAATAAACTAAATTGGCGTGTTTGGTCACCATCAAGACTGGTGTTGACACGGAGGATTTATTACACACTTTTTTTCACTTTGTATATGTTAAATTTTCTGTAATAAAGTTTTTTAAAATCTACTTGGAGGAAGTAAAGGTTTTGAAATAACCGAAAGGCCGCTGTTCCACAGAGTCTGCAGAAAACTTTTGGTGCGAAAGTGTGGAGACTGTTTGCTACAGAGACTACAGAGACAAGCACCTCAAGTCATACGCCCTGTGTGACAAGGGTGACAGGAGAGTTTCCTGTTCCCTCTGCAACGATCCTTTGAGAAGCGGGACCTCCGGTCCACATCCTTCACGTCCACGAGAAGCACAGGCTCACAAGGTAAGCACGAGGAGGCGAGAACACGCTCACGTCTGGTTCCAAACTCCTGAGCCAGCTGAGGGACTCTAGGTGCCAGCTGCTGGACGTGATGCTAGACAGGACCACTCCGTGAAGGAGGTGACAGTGTTATGGAGAGGCGGGCATGAATAGCTGTAGCGACACATGTGTTAGGACGGATGTACCAGGCAGAGGAGGAACATGGAGGAAGGAGTGTCCCTGCCGCCTGGTCTTTGGGTTAAGAAAGGTGTGGGGAGGTAGTCTGAAGCTGAGTGTAAGAACACAAATGGGGCATCTGAGTCATAACTGGAGGCAGAGTTGGATGCCGTTCCAGGTAGAGAGAGCCTGCATGTGACCTTGGTAACTGCCACTTATTCGGCATGGGCCAAAGATGGAAGGCCTCTATGGCAGGCCAGGATTTTGTAAGGAAGAAAGGCAATGAGGACATCAGGGAGCCATCTTTCTGCTGTTTCAGACACCTGTCACTCTGCCAGGCTTGGTGCAAAAAAGCACAAAATACCCTTGAGCTCAGTGGTTTCTTCAACAGTGTTCTAGCCAACCTCTGTGCAGAGGAAGAGCAGTTGGGATCCTCGGCACTCTCCGCCCTTTAAAGGAAAGAAGAAAGAAGAAAGAAAGAAAGAAGAAAGAGAGAGAGAGAGAGAGAGAGAGAGAGAGAGAGAGAGAAGAGAGAGGAGAGGAGAAAGAAAGAAGAGACAGAGAGAGAGAAAGGGGACTAGGCACAGAGGAATTCTTGCTTGACTCTAGCCTGTTCTCCTCATTTGAAACTGAGAGTAATTGTCATGAAATTATATTTTATCTCACCCTTCCCAACCTTTTAGAAAAATCGCAATCACTGTATTATATACTATGTAAAGTTTGAATGCTTTTATAATTATCGTGTATTATTTGTGTAATCTCAAAGGATTTTATAATAATAAGAGTAATTATTTCATGCCCATTAGACTGACAAAAGTAAAAAATTAAACTTATCCAACATTCTGATAGTGAAAAGTTGGAGACTGCAGGTTCATCAACACAGAATTGATTATATAATTATGGCTTATTGGCCGACACGGTGGCTCTCAGCTCTTTGGGGGAGGCCCATGTTGGAAGTGGCTTTTGTATGCTGTGTATAATGTTTTACTATAAGCGAAAAAACAGACCGGGCGTGGTGGCTCACGCCTGTAATCCTAGCACTCTGGGAGGCTGAGGCAGGCGGATTGCTCGATATTAGGAGTTCGAAACCAGCCTGAGTGAGACCCCGTCTCTACTAAAAATAGAAAGAATTAATTGACCAACTAACATATATAATATAAAAAATTAGCAGGGCATGGGGCACATGCCTGTAGTCCCAGCTACTTGGGAGGCTGAGCAGGAGGATTGCTTGAGCCCAGAGTTTGAGGTTGCTGTGAGCTAGCTGACACCACAGCACTCACTCTATCTAGCCTGGACAACAAAGCGAGACTCTGTCTCAAAAAAAAAAAAATAGTGAAAAAACATTTGAAATGAAACATATTAAACTGTTAACTGTAGCTCTAGGAATGTGACTGAGAGTGAAGAATGATTTTTATGTTTTTACTTGATAAAATTCTTTTTTTTTTTTGAGACAGAGTCTCACTTTGTTGCTCAGGCTAGAGTGAGTGCCGTGGCATGCCTGGGCAACAAAGTGAGACTCTGTCTCAAAAAAAAGAGTACGTGGTGAAAATTTTTTCCGAAT